CCACCACAGAAGATCAACACTTTATCACGGATTTTCAAGAGCTGTTTCCACATCCATGAGTCCCCAACTTTGATTTCAACTTGCCAGATATCTCTATTTTTCAGATATGTTTCATGAAGCCACTTGATCCAAAGAAGCTCTTTATTAGTATGAATATACCAAAGATTCTTTAGAGCAGAAGCAATGTTCCATGTGACAGCTGAGAATATCCCTAGACCACCCTGAGCTTTCTCTCTACAAACTATGTCCCATGAGACAAGAGGATGTTTGAAAGTATTATCTGTTTTTCCCCAGAGAAAATTCATGCACAGCATGTCAATTCTTTGAAGAACTTTAGTTGGTAGAATGTAGCTTGACATCCAATATAATTGGACTCCCAAAATAACACTTTTGATGATCTGTAGTCTCCCCGCATAGGATAAATGCCTGTGTGACAGCCAATTTTGAAACTGACTTGTGATCTTGTTGAATAATGGATTACAGTCTTCAAAAGACAGTCTCTTGCACACTAATGGAACCCCCAGATATCTAATTGGCAGACTACCTTCAGAAAAACCAAGACAGCTCTGAATAGAAGCTTTAACTGAATCATTTACACCACCATAGAAAATTGCACTCTTACTAGGATTAGCATCAAGCCCAGTAACAGCACTGAAGTGAGCAATTTTCTGATTAAGCTGCTGCACAGAATATAAATCTCCTTTGCTAAATAACAGCAAGTCATCAGCAAAAATGAGGTGAGAAATTTTCAGCTTAGCACACTTAGGATGGTACTTGAATTTCTTATCATGTTTCAACAAATCCAAGCTCCTAGATAGGTATTCCATACCCAAAATAAACAAATAAGGGGAGAGTGGATCACCTTGCCTCAGCCCTCTTTCACCTTTAAAAAAACCATGGAGTGAACCATTCAAGGATATAGAGTATTTAGGGGAAGAGATACATGCCATTATCCATCTGATCATCACAGTGGGGAAGCCCAGGCCTACAAGCATTTCAGATGAGAATTTCCAACTGATAGTGTCGAATGCTTTCCTGATATCAATATTAATCATGATCCTTGGTGAAATATGTCTCCTACCATAGTTCTTTACAAGTTCATGAGCAAGTAGGACATTACTGGATATTGACCTGCCTTTAACAAAAGCACATTGGGCATCATTAATAATATACCCCATAACAGTTTGTATCCTGTTAGCAAGGATCTTTGAGATGATTTTATAGATGCAGTTACAGCAGGATATTGGTCTGAAATCAGATGGAGATGAAGGACATTGGACCTTTGGTATAAGAACTATTGCTGTAGAATTGGTTACACCTAATAATTTTCCAGTCTTGAAGAACTCCTCAACAGCTAGTGTTATCTCTTCACCAATAATTGGCCAAGCTGATTTGTAGAATGATGCACTGTAACCATCAGGGCCAGGGGCCTTATTATCTGACATTGAGAAAACAGCCTTTTTGATTTCTTCATTAGATACATGAGCAGAGAGATACCTTGAGTGAGTATCATTTAAGCAAGGACCATTTTTGATGGTATTGTAATCAGGAGAATCAGTATTGACAGCAGTACCCATGAGGCCTTTAAAATAAGAGATAAATTCCATGGCTATACCTTCATTATCAGAGATTCTGACACCTGAATTATCATGGAGAACCAGAATTCTGTTATAATGTCTGTTGGACTTGATGATGGAATGGAATAGCTTGGTGCACCTGTCTCCATGTATATTCCATGCAATTCTTGACTTTTGTTTGTAAAAAGACAATTCACAATCAGCTAGCTTGTTAAAAGAAACAAGGGAATCTCTTTCTTGTTTGATGAATATAGGGTTAAGAGGGTCCTGCTGCAAATCCCTTTGAATAGCCTCAAGAGAAATTTTTGCTCTCATTACTTGCTCACTTATATTGTGATAATGCTTCTTATTAAGCTCCTTCAAAGCAGACTTTAACAATTTGAGCTTAGTGCAAACTGAAAACATTGTATGCCCTGGAACTGAAGTTTGCCAAATAGAAGAGACAGTAGGGAGAAAACTAGGATGTTTGGTCCACATCTTAAAAAATTTAAAAAATTTCTTTCCCTGAACATTGTCTTCATAGATAGAGATAAGAGCAGGAGAGTGATCAGAGAAACTTGGCAATAAAAACTCAGCATGGCTAGAATTATACCTGGCAATCCAAGCATCATTAATAAGAGCTCTATCCAATCTGCTCCAAATCCTTGTATCTGGGCCTTGTTTATTACTCCAGGTAAAGAAAGAGCCCAAAGTCTTCATATGAGATAGGTGACAATTGTCAATGAAGAGTTTGAAATCCATTGTGTCAGCATCAGACAATATAGCTCCTCCCAACTTTTCATCATCACTAATCAGAGTATTGAAATCCCCACAGAGAATCCAAGGAGATTGACCAATTGATTGAGAAAATTGTTTTAATTCTAACCATAGATCTTTTCTTTTTTCAGGTTGGTTGTATCCATAGACTGAAGTAATAAGGCAATCAAGTTTACCATCATAAGATTTAGCATGGCAAGTGATATACTGAGGAGAGCAGTGAATGACTTGAATATCCAGCAGAATATGATCCCATAAGATAAGGATCCTAGCCTTAACAGTAGAGCTACCATTAGCATACCATTTCCAATTGCAAGCAATCTTCTTTGTAACACCTGGCAGAATGTTCTCCTTGATTTTTATTTCTAGCAAAGCAAGAAAAGATAGATGATATTGTGAAATATATTGCTTAACCAGATGCTGTTTAAGGGGTTTATTTAAACCCCTTACATTCCAAAAGGATATGTTCATTTGCTCAATTTCCCCCTATCAATTGTAGAGGGATTAATACCACTTGTCAAGTTAATCAAAGGAGAAAAAGAATTCTTCTCATTTTTTTGGACTTGTTTCAAGGGATTTTCCATTTGCAAGTTACCAGAAAAAGTATGCATTTGTTGTGATGTCCCAGGAACTGATACATGCACACCATATTTAGGGGCTTGCTGTAATTCTACAGTTGGAGTTGAAGCATGCAACATACTGCAGTCTCTAGATTGTAGAGCTTCAATTATTTTCCCACTTCTTTGAACTTGTTTCCAGGGATTTTCCATTTGCAAGTTACCAGAAAAGGAATGCATGGGATGTTGCAGCACTGTATCTGAAATTGTCCCAGAATTTGATACTGATACACCATGTTTAGGGGCTTGCTGTATCTCTACATTTGGGGTTGAAGCATGTATCACCTGAACAGGGGGATGAGCTTCCATTCCAAAGATATCTGAAACATGCACAGCATGCACAGAGCTGCAGTCTCCAGTTTGTAGAGCTTCATTTCCAGGAGAAAGTACCACAGATTTACCTTTTACCACATTTAAATCAGCCCCATTTGCTTGAGCATAATTTTTACCAACCTGAATTTGATTCATCTGAGTTACCACAGTTTTGTCAGAAACAATAGTCTTTTGCTTAGGTACCCATTTCTGTGACTTAACTTGCCTTCTACAATGTAAAGCATCATGTCCCACTGATTTACAGAAATCACACCATCTTGGCTGACTTAACTTGCCTTCTACAATGTAAAGCATCATGTCCCACTGATTTACAGAAATCACACCATCTTGGCTTCATTTCATAAATCACCCTCTGCTGATCCCACTGATTTACAGAAATCACACCATCTTGGCTTCATTTCATAAATCACCCTCTGCTGATATTGCTTACCATTTGGACTTTGTATTGTTATTTGATCAGGGAGAGTAGCAGGCAAGTCCACTTCAATTAAGACTCTAGCATAAGCAAGTCTTTGTCTATTTGCTGTGAGTTTATCAGTAGTGCGCGAAGGTGATGTTGGATATGACTATTGGATCACGCACGATACTTTTGCTTTACTTTTCTATACCACCAGTAAATATATCCAGCACCTATAGATACTTAAATAAATACCTATCCCTTTTTTTTAAAAAAAAATTATTAACTAAAATATCATTTTTTTAAAAAAACAAATTTTCACTCCGGGGGTTCCGGCGGCACAATAGCCGGGAAAACGAAGGGAAAGGGGTATACGGCACGTGTGATGCGCGTGAGAGGTCATGGAGTGGGGCCCGCGCGGAGACAGCCAAATTAGGCGAGCTAATGGATGGAGTCGAGCCCGACGCCGGATCCGGCAGCACGCCACGTACGAGACCGCGTGCGCCATGTTGCTGCCAGTGGCCGAAGAAAAGAAAGAAAAAAAAATAAAAAAACCTGTTTAATTTTTTTTTTTCCGAAATAACAGTAAAATGAATAAAAAAAAATTTACCGACAGTCCGAGCAAGCTGGTCACCTGTAGCCGGCCGCTCTAACAAGAGCCAACACAATTCGTTTCATTTTTTCCTCTCTCTTGGTACAACTTTTAGAAAACCACTACTTTTGGGTCTCCGATCAAAAAAGATCCTTCTAAAGGGAAGTCTAGGGCACAAAACTCCCGCCGGGCACGGGCCTCAGAAGAGATCAAACCATCTTGGTGTTGCGTCCAGCGGAAGCGGGCTCAATACACAACAAGTCTATAAGCAATGTACAAAGAACACAACGAGCACAATCCACAATCCAAAACCGCTAAGATCAATCGCAAACACAGGGAATTACGTTGTCCGTCAAGATGCCTACGTCCACGGGGAGAGGATTGAGAGATTTCACTATATGGAGGAGAAATACAACGGGTTACAACTCTCAAACAATCAAAATAACCCTTACCAACATGATCTCTCTCCCTTCACAAAATCTCTCTCTAGCTGCACACACTTTTTTTTTTTTTGGTAAATGAAAGATTTTATTCATCACCAAATGTAAGAATGAATGTACATCAAGAATCTCATCATATGTATGAGATATCAAAACTGACATTAAGAGTTCAAAGAAAATAGAACTCAATCAAAAACTCAGCAACTAACAGCTACTGAGTAAAACCTGCTCTCCTCAACAGCAACTAACAGCAGCTTAGAACCTGCTAATTGCTCTCTTCAATGACTGTCAAAGTGAAATGATCCATTCTCTGTCTTCTGCCTTAAAAGAGCCATTGAGAACAAAAGAATAAATGTTGAATTTGATATCTCTAAAAAGTTGATCAGCTGGCCTTGCTTTCTGCCTGAAAATCCTGAAATTCCTTTCTCTCCATATACTATAAACAGCTGTAGTTAGAGCCATCCTTTTAATCCTTTGCTTGAAACCATTACCCTTCAGTCTATCACAGTACCAAATCACAATCTGATTCCAATCACAGGACTGCCATTTGAAACTGAGCAAATCCATAATTTTTAGCCACACTTCTCTTGAATAGCAGCACTCAAAGAAAAGATGGTTTCTGTTTTCAGAACCAGTACACAGACAACAATTGTTAGAGTTCATTAATCCCCTCTTAATCAGTCTGTCGATAGTAAGCAACCTATCTTGGATTGCTAACCAACAGATAAAAGAGTGACTGGGGAAGTTTGTAGTCTCCCAAACTGTTCTATGCCATGGCACAACTGAAGAATTAGGGGAGAGAGCATTGTACAATGCTGAAATCTGGATTCTAGAATTTTCAGAGCAAGATTGAATGAGCAGCAACAAGTTATTTAGACCTCCACAAAAGCTAACAGCTTTGTCTCTGATTTTCAAAATTTTCTTCCACATCCATGAGTCCTAGTTTTTAGCCTGAACATGCCATATATCATCATTTCTTAAGTATGCACTGTGTATCCATTTGATCCATAGACTCTCTTTATTAGCTGCACACACTTCTAAATATATAAAAAACGCTAAATCCAAAACAGACTGGGAAACGATTTTACCCGTTCAGCCCGCTATCGGTCGACCGATAGGGATTCATCGGTCGACTGACCAGAGTGAAATTCCCCAGTACCTGCAGTGCACGTTATCGGTCGACTGATGCTCTCTGATCGGTCGACCGACCAGAGAAAATTTTCCAGACCTGTGATGTGCATGTTTTCAACACCGGGATCTATTGGCTTGCATTCTTACAACTTAAAGGTCATTAGTAAGAGTACTCGAAACGTGACCTCCAGGTCACATGGCGACAATTCTTAATTACTCGCACTGAGGCTGCCCTTCTGAACAAAACTTCCTAAATAGTTATATGAAATTTCGAAACTATAGAGAACTATCTATGAGAAAAAGGGAAATTGTCGTATAAGATGAGAGGTCTAAATTATCCTCAAGCGTAAAATGAAGGAACATGGATTAATGTTGGCAGCGCGATAGCTAACAAGAACTGAATTCCAAATGCGTACTAAGATTGTAATAGCAGTAGGGAAACTATTTTGCTCAGGTACGTGAACACACTGCAAGAAGCGACACCCCCAACTATTAATTGTCGTATTCCTCTTCAATTTGATTCCTAATCTGCTTAATTAGGTTGATCAAGTTTTATGGTTGCTCCGTTTCTTCTAGGGCACAGAGAATTCAGGAGAAGTACGTACGGGATAGATCATCTCGTAGAGAATATTCTCTGTTATCTATCTATCAGAGAGTCCTGGAGATCACTAATTGATGTAATCATTGTGATCTCAACTCTCTCGTCTGTAAATTAACCTGAAGATTTATATATATGTTGCTACCCATGGAGGTGAGTGAGATTTGTCACGAACCACGTAAAATTCTTGTTGTTGTCGTCGCACTTTGTCGACTTATTTCTATCGTATGTTATTTGTTACTCTCACTTTGTGATCTTGATTTTTCTTCGCGCTTTCGAAAATATCTGCGACAGAGGGTGTGATCAGTAGGCTCCGATGCTGTCAATATGAACACGTGTAGAATTTCTCCCTGAGAGTGCAATGTGCTTCATAGTTCATGATAGTTCTCTCTTTAATTTAGAAAATTTGATGTGAAACCTCCCATAGTCCAGGGGAAGCTTTAATTTGTGAATTTAATTAACTTTATATACGTCTTCTTTTTGTTGTGGGTTATGATCGATCGGTATTTGGAGAAGCGTCTGCGTCTCAATGCTAGGGTCGGTCGGTGGGACCCACGCATGGGTGGGGCCCAAAAGCGACGGGCGGTAGTAAAAACTAAAAGGGCAAGCATACTAAGAAGAGCTATAGCTATAACCATCAACAATTTTAGTTGATTAATTAATTAAGTTGGTTAATTAATTTCTCAATAACCACGGGCAATGAGGGAAGGCAACAAGCTAGGAGTTGAGTGACGCCAGCATATATGGGATATGTAAAGTTTATATACGTATTTTGCTTGTTATTATTACGTTTGCACTTCTTGTGGAGGGTGGTGGCAAGTTGATGGAATTGTGTATGAGAAGCCTCTGTTTGTTATTTATTTCCCCTTTACAGTTGAAGACCTTGAGAGAGAGAGAGAGAGAGAGAGAGAGATTGGTCGATCGCTGTCGGTAGCGGGTGGAGGTGGTTGGCGGTTGTAGAAGCTGTAGAGATCAATATATAATCTATCTCAAGACATAACATGTATAGATTATGATCTCTCTTTCTTTCCGCCACTCCCGCCATTGCTCCCGCCCTAAAACCTCTTGATTCTCCTGCAATTAATCTTTCTTTCCGAAAGCGACAGAAAGAGAGAGAGAGAGAGAGAGAGAGAGAGAGAGAGAGAGAGAGAGAGAGAGAGAGA